CTGGGTGAATATTTCAATCAATACAAAACATATTTCATTGAAATTATTGATATCATACTAATGAAATATTGAAGATCTAACTCCTCATATGTCTAAGTGATAAATGGTGGTTTCTGGCCCTCTTCTTAAGTTAATAACACCCACTGTGGTCTGATCTCATACAAAATGAAAACAGGGCAAGCAGCTTTCTTAATTCTTTAAGTACCAATTGTACTCAGCTGTGGTTTTGGTAGTTAAATGTTCCACCTCCCCAACTAGTTTTCCCTTTTGCTTCGTCCAAAATATCCCCAAACCCAAAGAACCCAGCTTTATGAAAGAAAATTCATAACTTCCTTGTAACCTAGGACATAAATATCAATGAAAGTAAAATGTTAATCCCATGTTTTAGCTTCTTGGGAATTATTCAAGACAAGTATCTAATAATGAGGCATAAAGTACAATTAAACTTCTCTCCACTCTAGAAATCTCTATCTATTATAAACTATAGTTTAAACAACTCATTGGGATGAATATGTCAGGGCTTCTTATTTCCTCACTATCTAAAACTTTTGGCTTTTGTTGTTTTTATTTTATTTCAAAAAGGAAAGAAAAACAAGGGTGAAGGATATGAGTTCAAGTCTAATTCATGTACTTTAAATATCTTCCTCTGAGATGCTAGCATTAGTAAAAAATATTATGTCAAAGATGAAGGCTCCATGGGAGCCTGGAGAGAGGTTCCAGAGAGTAGGACAAAAGAAAATGAAAACTAACTTGGAGGACAGCCTATATATAAATGAATTCCTGTCTTCTTACACTCCCAAATTCTCCAAACTTATGAACTTACAGAATTTCCCCATTAGAATCATCACCACATTTCAACAGATTAGCATATTGGCCATGATGGGGAGGAAACATCATTTTAACAATATGGCTCTTGGAAACTGCTCACAGATTTCCTTTTTCAACAGATGGAGAAAACAGTACTAATGTGGGCCTCTCAGTCAGTAACTATTGCTTCATGCAACTCAAGAACAAAGCCTTATATTTCTTGTGTGAAACCACTGTACTTTAACTTTGAGAATTTCATTCTGTAACAGAAACTGTATATTTCACATTAAATTCTACCCTTTAGAAATTCTAACACTATTATAGTATTTTTGGATACTTATAATTTTATGCTAGACATTATTGCTTACATAGCAATTCATTACAAATTAAAGTTTTTTTAAACAAACCACCTAACCACAAATTTTAAATGAAAAGGAGTAAATATTCAATATACTGTACAGTTTCTCCAAATTGCTCAGTGTTCTGATTGCAATAGGGATACACTTGTGCAAATCAGTCCTAGACAATGTGGAGAGACACTTCTACTTCTGGATTTCAAGGCTGGGAGACCTTGAACCAGTTGCTTTTATATCTTCCAATTGGTTACACACTTCAAAAACAGAATTTCAAATCTTTCTTCTTTCTTTCTTCTGAAATCTTTCTTCTTTACATGTATCATGTAAAGACATGGGCAATTTGACTTCACAAGTAGAAATGACCTGTGATGTATCATAAAATCAGTTGTCTATTTATATTTATTTTTACTGATTTTTTTGTACCAATTTAATAATATTTTATATAGGGCTGGGGATTTAGCTCAGTGGTTTGGCCGCCTGCCTTGCAAGTGAAAGGTCCCAAGTTCGATCCCTGGTACCCGCTCCCCCCAACCAAATAATAATATTTTATATAAAACAAGAACTCTGTCCCAGCACTCATGAGGCTGAGGCAGGGGGATCACTGTGAATTTGAGGCCAGCCTGGGCTACATAGTGAGTTCAAGGCCAGTCTGAAGTACAGAGTGAGACCTTGACAAAACAAAACAAAACTAACAAGCAAACAAATAACCAACCGAAAAACACCCACAAGAACTCTATACTAAAAATGAAAAACATTTTATCTTTCACCAAAGATGATCAACAAAACAAAAAGTTTTACCTTTTATCCAAGATGATTAAAGAAACTTGATGTAAGATTATTAGGGTTACAAGATTTTCCCCTTTATTTTAAAATTTTAGCTAGCACTTAAAGAAATGTTTCTGATGTATCCTGGTTATGACCTGAGAATACTGAGTCAAAGTGAAGGTTCTGGGTCCTTCCCAGACTAGCTTGTTTTACTCCATTTATCAGTAAAGGCTGTGAGCCTCTCAGGAATTCTTGCTTTACTTAGCAGCCCTACAAGATGAAATAGTACAGGCAGATTGATTCGTGGTTGAAAATCAAAATTAAAACCATGCCCTGTTGTTAGGGAGTCAATATTACATTGTCCTATGAAATGTGAGGTACAATGTGACATTATTAAAGTAACTCATGCAAAGTGAACCTAGTCTCAGATTGTGGGAAAATACAACTTTTCAAAGTTTAGCTAACTCATTAGTGTGGTTCAGTTGTTCAGATGAAAAGACTTAGGTGTGGCAGAGTATCAGAAAAGAAGCTCATGGTTAGGTATCATTTAGTATTTGAAGTACTATGCTAGTCAACATTTTGAAGAATTAAGGGACTCTCATCCTACAATAAAGAATGCTGTAAGGATTATGTTCATTTGATTTTACCATAGTTAAAATTCTTTTTCAAATGTCAGCCTTGTATCCATCATACTTTATTTTTTACTTCCTCTACCATTAAAATTGTGAAAATTGAAGCACAGCAGAATGGTCTGCCAGAGAGGCACCAGCCTGGGGTCCTGGCCGAATTGCTCTGCCACAAACCAGCCACACCATCTACACTGGGAATTTATCCCCTTACTTTGTTATTCCCTAAACATTACAAAATATTTAGAATGGGAATACCAACACCTGTTCTCATTTCTATCTCATCATTGGCGGAGTTAAAAACTGAGATCTTTGGAATATATAAAAAAGCACTTGAGACATGTAGCCATTTTATAATCAGGGGTAAGAGAAATGAATGTAATGAAAGAAAGCTCAGCTTTTAAAGAGTAATGAAATTTTTATATTCAGAAATATTTTCACTATCATTCTCTAGTGTCTTTAAGAATTACAATGAGGGGCTGGGGATTTAGCCCAGTGGTTTCGCCCTCTGCTGCACAAGCGCAAGGACCCGAGTTCGATCCCCAGTACCAAAAAAAAAAAAAAAAAAAAAAAAAAAGAATTACAATGAGGCACTTAGTTAGTACTGGAAGAAGGTGAAATGGGACATGTATAGGGGTTCTACATTTAAAATTGTGGCAGCAAGTATTTGGGTACAAACTAGGGCCCTTAGGTCAAATCTGACAAGCAGACATATTTTCTTTGTCCCTAAGTGTTTAAAGATTTGAGTCCTCTGTGATACCCACTATCTTCTATGTTTTGATTCTTCAGGTCAGTACTGTCTAAAGAAATATAATGTGAACCACACATGCACTTAAAATTTTTTCTAGTAGCCACATTAATAAAGAGAAATTCATTTTGATAACATTTTATATAACCCAATATATCCAGACTATTATTTAATGTGAAAATTATTGGCATTTATTTGTAACATTTCTTCAAAATCCAGAATGTAATTTAAGCATCCGACACATCTCAGTAGCTACCTTCCCAGTGCTCCTCTTCCCCGGGCTGGCTGTCGGAGTGGACAGCTCAGCACAGGTGCTTCCTTCACCAAGGTCTCTAATAAATGCTGGTGTCTGCAGCCTCAGCTTCACTCAGGAGTTTGCTAGAAGTGCAAATGTCAGGCTCCACCCAAGATGTACTGAATCAGAAACTCTGTGGGTGGGGTCCAGCAAGCTATGTTTAATGAGCTCTCTAGGCGATTCTGATGCATACTAATATTTGAAAAAGACTGCATTGCAGGCATCTTGATTTGCAAGTGTAGTTTAAATGCTGATAACCATGATTAATAGGCACAACCAAATCCAATGCACAATAAAAGTACTCTGAGCTAAAATGTTTTAATTTGGCCTCACAAAGCATCAGAAACTGAAGTGTGAGAAATTCTTAATACTGCTTAAGAATTATTCATTAAGTATGTGTTCCTTTACACATTTACGTCTGGCTTAGCTAGGTATGTCTAGCAGGATATCATCTAGTAAAATGCTCTTTGTACCTACTCACAGGTATCTAAAATTCTTTTACCTTGTGGGATGGGGTGAGGTACCACTTCTACACCTCCCATTAGAACTAGGATCTACTTGGGGAGGAAACACAGTGGCTCAGGGGAGAGTCAGGGTTAAGGTAGTGGAGAAAGAATAATGACAGGAACCAAAAGATCTGAATTCAGCACATGACTTGCTTCTTATGGGCTGACTTTTCACTCAACCTGTGATTCATTTCCTCCAATTGGGAAGTATTAACAATGATGTTCATAGTGGACGATGATGAAGCACATGTCTGTCCAGTCTGGTTCATAGAATTGTTGGACATACCAAATGAGATTATGTATATGGACTTCCTAGAGCTTGGACCTTTTGTTAGTGTTATAAAATTCACACTATGTTCTAAATGACTATTTCCCCCTGCAAGCAAATTTGGATAGGAGAGATAAGGAAACTTCTAGAAGTAAACAAGCTAAAGTACAAGCAAGGGGTGGACTTGGGGAGAGGAGCTGAAAAATACTATTAAAAAGCTGCTTGTCCTGGACTACTTTGATAAGTTTTCTTACATCCTATATAATTTAAAAATATGAATTATGATGATACTACACCAATGATTGGGAAACAAAATTTTGACCATCCTATCTGCCTTTTTTGCCACTCCACTGCTTTTCTACGTTGGGCTATTCGGGCTTTCTAATTAAACAGACTGTGATAACAGGCATGGATTTTGGGCCAATAAAAGGTAAACAACACTTTCCCAACTGAAAAATAAGATGAGATACCAGGGGCTGCTGTTTCCTGTGAAAACTTCATTAGCAATAAATGAGTTACCAGATGTCACACATCAGATTTGAAATTAAAATATATTTCCTGCATTTGTGTGAGTCCAAGTGGGAGTTTAAAATGAACTCTTTTCAAGAGAGCTAAATAAGATAATGTACCTTTTCTACCTTGTGATAGTTTGTTCCTCCTCTAAATGTAAAATCAGATGCATCTCTTGGTTTGTAAAGTGGCAAAATATAGCATTTCTGCCTGGGAGGGCTGGGTGGTGAAGCAGCATATTCCTCATATAGCAGCAACTGTAGAAGGAGAAGGGGGACATTTTTGAACATTTTGTGCCTCACCAAGACCACCACCTCCTCTTGTTTTACTTTGCCCTGAGAATTTCTCTTTTTCTCACCTTCACTTTCCACAATGGATGTTTGGTTTTATCACCATCAACAAAATTGTTCAAGTTAGCAATTGTCAACGTCAACCCTACTCTTCTTGAACTGTGGTGTAACAACAAGCTTGTTAATGCTACCCTTTCTTCATAAGATATTAAAACTCTCCTCTTGTCCTTCCAGCTAGCTAAGCTGATTCTGTTCTTGTCCTCCAAGTTGCAAACTTCCAACCCGAAAGCAATTGTGGTTAGGGAGGGAACCCAGCAGTAGGAAACAGAAAAAGCTCAATTTCATCTGAGCCAGCAGAAATTTCAAATGATAAGCTGGTATGATGGAAATATCTGACACATTCTAGTTTTTATAAACAAACATTTTTGGCTGAACTTCTTCCTTTGCAATTTCAAAATCTTTGCAGTTATTCATTCCAGCTGAAGACCATGGCTATTTGAAATCTTTTGTTTATTTTTCCTGCACAATTAATTTTAATTCTTATCTCCCATAAGATAGGAGAAGTCTATAAATAAATTGAGAGTGAAACCCTCCTCTCAGAGAAATATTTATGTAGAACTTCTCTATACATAGAAATCACCCAAAGTACTTAAAAAGTTTATTTCTTCATCATTACCCAATGTTATACACTGGGGAGGCAGGAGCTACTGCACTCTGACCTTCACATAAAGATAGATAGAGTATCCTTGAGATGATTAGCTATGTCAATGGGAAAAAATGTCAATTTAATCTTTTTCACTATATAACTGAGCACAAGGTGACATACAAGTGTCCAATTAAGCTTAAAGAATGTAAAATTATTTTACTCTTCTCTGTATTTCTGCAGGTATCTGATTTATAATTGAAAGGACACAATGATGGCTTAATACTTACAGTACTATTTATCATTTATAATTCAATGAATATTTACTGTGTGCCAAGTATTGTATTAATTGCTTTAATCTTTGTAAGAACTCTTTGATGGAAGACATTCTCATTTCTATTTTTAAGATGAGACAAACTTAGAGAGCAGGTCTTTCCATTTTTGACATCCTATAAGTAATATTTCAAAGCTTCTATTATTAGTACTTTTATTTTTTGCAATGTCATCTGTTCATAATCTATTCCAGTGCTTCTCAAGCAGAGAGACGATTCTATCCTCTCGGGCCATTTAGCAATACATGGACACATTTTTCATTTTTAAAACAGGGGAAGGGATAGGAAAGGGATTATTAGCACCTAAAACTTAAAGACAAGTAATAATGCTAATTATTTTACCATGCATGGTAAACATTATCTAGCCCAAAATGTCAATATGCTACTATTGGGCCGGGGATTTAGCTGAGTGGTTTCGCCGCCTGCTGCGCAAGCTCAGGGACCCGAGTTTGATCCCTGGTACCAAAAAACCCCACAAAACACAAGTATGCTACTATTGAGAAACCCTGCCCTGGGCCCTATTTTTTTTTTTTTTTTAACTTTGATAGTTTGCAGCTCTTATATGGGATAAGTTAACTATACATTGGATTTTATTGATAGCTTTTGTTTCATGTTTTATGTGTTCCCAGGAAAACTATAGATCCCCTAAAAGATAGGTTCTGAGAATTTTCTAGAATGCCAGAAATCTACACCAATACATTGGAAGAGAGACTCAGTGTGGATTCATCATAGAAACTTCAAGGACTCTATGGCTATTGTGGTGACCCCAAGGCCTCCACTAGAGGGAGGCAGCCACTTACTCCGGAAGTCAAACCCTGCCCCCTGGTGGCATCAGCACCATAGACATTCCAGTGGGAGCCAAAGAGCATCCATCTATGCTCTTAGGGCATGAACTCATTTTGCAGTATTTGAATATAAATTCAGCTTTATTTTTACATTAACTATTTTTTCTATGTGGAGCAGCATGTTAAATATGTAACATGTCATCAAGGTTCACAATTAAACCAAGTAGAGAAAAGTGGGAAAGAAAAAGTACACATACATGTAGGAACACATGATACTTTTTGGAGTTTTGGCAACCAAAGAGTTTAGTTATTTAGCTTGATTTTCTGTTACTTGCAACCCCCTTTCCGAATACACACATATAAGGCCACAATACTAATAGTTTATTGGTTCTTCTGATATTTTATCTTCAAATTTCTTATAGTGTAGTTCTAGAAAGAAAGCACCATGAAGTTTGAAATACCAGCTAAATCAGAGGAAATTACACTTTCCTCCTTTTCCCATTAAGAACTCTATTCTTTTACTATGAAAACTCTACTGATCATCTTATCAGAAAGTGCAGCTTTTTCTGTATACCGATGCCAAGTGAGTAACATTTTAGTGAGGCATTTGAAGTTGTGATATGCAACTCAGTGGGAGATAAACAAGGTCATTTACAAGGTCTTTTCAATGAGAACATCAGAGCTTTCAAAAGATGCATGCAGTGTGTCCTGGATAATCAGGGTAAAGCAGAAACGAAGAAAAAGCCTATAAAGTACAAAAATAAAGAAGCAGTCAGAGAGAAACACTCAAAATTAGGAATGAAAAGATATGGAGAATGCTGATGTTAAATACTAATATGTAAAAAAGCACTGAGTGAAAGAACAACATAATTTAAGAATTTGAAGAGTGGGATTTTGGTTTACTGTAGAATTAACAGGGTTAAATATCGCATGGTTTTTCTCATATGACAAACTCAATATATAAAGAAAGAGCAAAATAAAATGCAGATAACAGGAAGTAGCTAGCTAGATATTTCTCAAATGGGAAAGGGATCAAGAGATGGTGGGGAGGAGGGAAGCAGAAGTGGGTGAAAAAAATTAAGATGTGTTATGCACATGGACCAGCTCCCACAAGGAATGTAATCACTATGTACTGCAAACATGTACTCATAAAAAATAAAAATTGTAATTTGTTGAAAATACTAAAAAAAAAAAATTAGAACAAACATTGGCCTAAGTTTAGTGATGAGGTTCTCAGGGGTTTTCTTTGCCTTTCAAGAAATCAAGACCTCAAACAATTCATTAAATCTTCACTGGACTTTGATCTGACAAATGGAAAGGATACCGCCAACCCTCTACCTTGACCTTGGAAGAATACTGTGTGTTTAAAATGATTTTCCTCTCTACACATACATTCAGTATGGATAGACTACATAACAATAAAAACAAGTTTAATAAGTCACTAGAGTGGAAAGCTAATCTATATACCAAGAGATATATATTCAGTACTTAGAAACTTAAAAGGGAACATTAGCTAATGTTAGCAATTCATCAGCTGTCTGCCTATAGGAAACAATCCTACTACAAGCTTTGCACTCACAAAGGTTGGGGTTAAGGTCCTGGCTCCAATTCCGATTAATCATGTGATTCACTAATTTACTCCCTCTTTGGCCTTAGTTTCCTTATCTTTAAAATGGGATTAAAACCAATTGTGTACAGTTAATATGAGGGTTAAATAAAAAATGGGGAAAAAGAGAACTGTATATTGCACATTTCTATTATTACTATACCTATATTTTCAATATATATTCATATATCACCACACATATACTAAAATATCTCCATAAAATTTTACCTTACATATTCAATTTCTCACATTATTACACATTACTAATTGATTGGCATGTTGTTAGAAATCCTTTTAACATAATAATGTGGTAATATAATCTGTTGGTCACCCTATAAAGCAATTTAAAGATTGTTTTTAAGGACCGAAAATGGTAAGTATCTAAAATGAAGGTTATTTCCAATTAAGTTAGAGAAGCAAAAAATAAAAAAATCATACCATAGATCTTTGGTTGCTGAATCATGTTTTAACTAGTTAAATGAAGAAAATTCTTTTAAAATTCAGGGTGCAGAAAAAAAACTATATGCCTATTGCACCCCTAATATTCACATAAGTCTCTTCCTTGAATTATCTGACTGAACATGTGGTAATTGTTGTTCTTTAATATGATTTCATGAGTTCACTTTCTAATAATTATACAACATGTTGTTTTGGTAATAACATTTTTGGTATTACTTTATTGCTATATAAAATGGAAAAACAAATTAGGCTGATTTTTTTTGGCTCAGAATAAGGGAAGCATATTTGTGAGGTTCATTAGAATTTTGTGAGAATAATATAATATGCTAATAATTTTAAATATTTTGTTGTGAAGGGGTTCCAGTTCAGAGAAAATATGTTTTAGAAACCAGTCTATCCCAGTAGCCACAGCTGTACGCACTAGGGAAAAATCAGATTAAAACGATTCCCTAGACATATCACATAGCTTATGCTATACTAAAAATGAAGGTATTCTCTTTATATAAAAAGTCATTCTGTACCCATTGTGGTGCACACATTTGTAATTCCAGCACTCTGGGAGGCTGAAGTAGGAGGATTGCAAGTTTGAGCCCTGCCTGGACAAATTTGACTTAGTGAGACCCTGTCTCAAAATTAAAAAAAAAAAAAAATTAAAAAGGCCTGAAGATGTAGCTCAGTGTTAAGGACCTAGCTTCAGTCCCCAGTACCACATACACATACAAAAGGTCATCCTGCAACTACGACCTCCTTTCAATTTATGTTTGGAGAATAGCTTTATCTCAGTATGTGTCAGGAAGTCACAGAAATTTCTGAGATACAAGGAAATATGTGAATTAAATTTGTTGCTTCTTGTCTTCCAAGAACTATATGCCTTTTGTCTTAGTCAACATATATAATTACTAAATTACCAATGGTATTTTGGCTGTCAGATTAGTCGAGTGAAGTCTATTTTAACCTATAATGTAGTTGAACTACTATACTTTAGTCTTTTGCTTCCCTTGAAACAACTTAAGTCAGAGATGCACAGAATTTTATTGCTGGAAAGGTGCCTAGAAATTATGTTCTCCAGGGTTCACATAATCAAATGCTTAAGGGCCCTGGGAGAAACAGAGATGGTTGAAGTGGGCATGCTGGTGGAAGGCTTGCCCTTCTCTCAGAGGCATGCAGATAATTTTCTTTGCAGCTATAGCCAAATGTGGGAATTGTGATGGGGGGGTACAGCTGATTTTTTAAGATAAGCAGAAACTTCTATACGATATGTGAAATATCTTACTTTGAAGTGTTTTTAATGCAAATGCCAACACTGGAATGAAAGAGAACTACTCTGCAGGTCACATCAGTGTTGGTTTTGGGGTTGTTGATCTGCAGCTTAGGATCCAAGCCAACCACTGAGAGGTAGTTTTACAACTGAGAAAACAGACTCTAAGCCATAGCAAGATGCTGTAGACCCCATACCAATGTCTTTATATGACACTAAATATTTAGGGATCTCTTCTTCCATTTCCACATTCAAAAACACTCCATGGCTCAGGAGCTAGAGTGGGAAACACACAGAGATGTGTTGGGATGAAGTATTCTCCACCACTCTGTCATACAGTCAGGCTTCTTTGTCTGCATGTGCATGAGAAAAGCCTGGTTCAGAGTCTGAGAAAGGTTTTAGGAGTCAGCCTGAAATGCACCCCACCACACCCCTTTCTGTATTTTTGCTAGCAACTTTTTTTTCTACTCTTATTTTTCTATACTGTGAAAGATAGTTATGTCTCTTAGAGCTGCATTTCACTGGAGTGATGGCCTCACAGGAGTGATTACAGCACAGAATCTATTACATATGAGTGTTCTTCCATAGTATTATCATTATCATTATTATTATTATTATTATTTGGTACTGGGGATCGAACTAAGGACTTTGCTTGCAAGGCAGGAGCGGTGCCACTGAGCTAAATCCCTGGACCTCTTGCATATTATTTTGACATTTACTCAACAACTAAAATTTGGCGTCTAAAGGTTATCAGTCGTGAAAGAATGATCCTACTTCCTAGAGCCACATTGACTCACTAGCATTAGTTATATTTCTAGTGAGAAAGTGAAATTTAAAAAAAAATTAAAAATTGTTTTGTACAAGAGGGAAGTCCAGTCTGTAACTCCACTGGGGCTAGAAGTAGAAGTTCCTTGCTTTGAGTTTTGACCCTACATTTATTACAATTTGATTTTGGTCATAAGCCACCTCCTCTTTTTTGCTTACTTATGAAATGGAGATAATGTTACAATGAATAATCAATGGAATAATCTATAAGATTAGGGAAAGGAACATCCATAGACAAGAATCAGCTTTTAAATAAAGGTCTGAAACCAGGTGTGATAGCACACACCTGTAATCCCAGCGACTTGGAAGGTGAGGTAGAATGATCACAATGCCAGCCCCGGCAATTTGGCAAGATCCTATCTAAACACAGGTGGGGGTGAGGACTGAGGATGTAGGTCAGTGCTCCCTGCATTCAGTCCTCAGTACTGCAAGAAAGACGGACAAGGCTTAACGACCCTCTTCCCCCTTCGCTGGGATAACCTGAGCCCTTTTCTCTCGCTCAGACATGCTTGTCTTATCTGTTGCCTTCTTGCCAACTGATGACCTTTTCCTTTCCCTTCGGATTTGCTGGTAAAGGGGCTAGAGGCCAAAAAAAACAACTTGCCTTTACCCAGGACCCACAAACAAAACCCAAATTTGTCTGAAATATTTTGCCAAAGCTTCACTAACCCAGGATTGTAGAATCATCAACAGAATCTATGTAATTTTGCAGTAATAAAAATCTCATTTTTCTTACTTACACCTTAATTTAAAATAATCATTTTCGGTAAACTGTGAAGTCAGAAGAATGCATAAAACTATTAATTGAGAACATCTGCCCACAATTATAAATATATGGAACTCACTCAGCTTACAAGCAGTACATTTCCGTTTGAAATGAAAAGATTTTTCGTTAAAAGAGTGATTCTTCTGACATTAAAATTCTGAGCTACTAATGTAGTAACATAAGTGAAAAAAATAATAAAATCCTATGGCTTTTTTATTGCATGTTTATTTAGGCCAAACCAGTATGAGGCAGCTAGATTAATTACTTTTATACTGTTAAGTACTGTACATAGTTAATTATTTCATCTAAGTCGTGTCTGAGCCAAACCTGTGAATTACTATTCATGCAGGGCAATGATGATAATTTATGTACTCCCTCCATGCTACAGCTTGTTAATATATTATTTTTGATTTGAAACTAGATGTTAAAAGTTTGTAAGAGGCTTTTAAAGACTACCCCATGGCATAAGTTCTAAAATTATGAATTTCAAAATTATGGTTGATGGCATGCTATGATAGGAATTTATTTAGATGATGGAATTATAATTTGCCCTGAAAAATTGTTCTCTTACGTTTATTCTGATCTTTTGACCCTTATGGTTTTCACTTGTGTTTTTAGATTCTGCTTGATTCTATGATGTGGCTATTCTTTGGGCCCTTAGTTGTATTTCTGCACACCATGACAAGCACAAAACCTGTTATCACCCACTCTCCCAACTGGTCACTCAAACATTTGATTGTGGCTACAAGTGTCCCATAACATTGAGTACTTAGAAAGATGCTCACAACCACTATAAACTCATCAAGCTAAGGTGATATCAGTGAATCCAATTTTACAATATAAAATCAGCTTTTGAACGGTTCAATAACAAGCTCCCAGAAATATTTGTACATAGTCAAGTGAAAGTCCTCTCAATGTTTTATAAATTCAAAACTCGACTTTTAAGACACATCATTCAATTTTAAAAGAAAAAAGAAGAAATCATAAGGATGAAAAGTATAATTAACAAAATAAAGAGCGATATTATGGAGCCTGCCTTGTGTTCCCAGAGTGGCCCTGAACAAGTCGCTTTAGCATGGTCTGAGAGCAAAGCAATCTTAGGCTTCACCTCAAACCTCCTAGGTCATAATCTTCATTTTAAGAAGATTCCCCAGGCAATCTGGATGTCCATTAAAATTTGAGTCATGCTAGTCTGGAGGTGTATTTAGTAGCCATTTACACTTGTACATTAATTATGTAACCCAGAGAACCTACACATCAGGACATGAGCCCACATTGCTGGAGTGTGGCTATCCATGGGGAGAAGCTGAAGCCAGAACAGACAAACGGGACTTCTGGAGACCCAGTTTTCAGGAGGAGATTTTAGAATATGGAGGAAGAAAAGTCCCAAATAAAGCAAGTGAAAAGAAAATATATTTCATATAACATAATACTTGTGAGCTTTATTCCTATATCACTGAAAAAAATACTGCTTGGCCTTTGGTCAAAATGTCCTGCTTGTTTTAGAGGAATTAACATCTAAAAGAATGTGGTGTGCTCCAGCTATTCTCAAAGCACATTTTAACTTCTTTTTGTTTCTATGAAATATGTGAATTTTGACACGTAAGTAATTTTAATCAGCAACTGTTCTGTTTAAAAAGCAGGCCCCTTCTGCACAATTGCCTTTTCTTACAAAGGTTTTCAAACTGTTCAACCACTAGAGGTCTGTATTACCTATTTTTAAAAATCATAACTAACTGGCTGAGAATTTTACCCCTCAATTTAAGGCATAACACTGGGAAATAAAAACCATAGCACTTTAAGAAATGAAGAAAACCTAATAGGAGCCCTTCCATTTGGAAAGAGACTAAGACTCCTCTGCTATTTCTGGGAGGCAGCTGAGTGCACCTTCATAGTCTCAAACATAGAAATCAATGGCCAGTCACAAATGGAGGGAGAAAATTTATTTTCTGCAAAGAACCCATGAAAAATAGTCTCCACATATATTTAAGATCTCTGTTTTAATTTTAAAATTTAAAGCATTTATTTTCCTATTGGAATGAAAGAAAAACTGAAATAACTGAGTTAATTCTCAGTTCATTTAAAACAACAATTTAATCACTTTTAGGAGGAGTTTTAAATAAAACTTTCTTTTACTGGTCTATACCATATTAGTTTAAAAATTAATGTTCTTTTAGGCTTACTTTACATGGCTCTTCTGACATTTTGTACATTAATTCATGAACCTGGGCTTGCCTGGTTAGATTTTAATAGAGTCATAATGCTTTCTGGTGGTACCTACTGTAAGTTGGTTCCCCCAGGTTTTAACTGTACTCCTTGTTCATGTGGGAATTTTCACGAGTAGTCCATTGGAGTTTCTCCTCTGCCAGCAGCAGCCCAGGCTCTGAGCCTTCCAGAAGCCTGAAAATGAGGTTTTTCATTTAGAGGAGCACCTTATTAGAAATGAAAAAAATCTTCTCATAGCATATGGAGCAGACCTCCTAAAGTATCGCATTCATATATTCACATATTTAAATAAAACAGTAGAAAATATCACAGACATAAAAGCTACAATTTACTGAGTACTGCACCGGGGGTTTGGATTCTGATGCTAGACTTCACAGATTCTAATTACATCTGCATTTGGAGTAAGTGGCTACATTTGTTGCCAGGCAAGGTGTAATGATAAGAGGCTCCCCTCTTTTAAAAGGCATTATTACATAATGTTCCTGGCCTGTGATGCCTCTGGAAGCATAAGCAGGTCTAGTGTGGCTTCCCTCTCAGTCTGTCACTTTATTAAAACACAACAATTTGCAAGTGTTATTTGGCAGATCAGCTGGGTTCATTTCAAAGGCTAATATTTAACAGTGGAGAAAATAACCCATCCCAAATCCTTTTAAAATATCTTTTCTGTATAGTCACAGGCAAATTGCCTAGTGTTTTATACAGATCTTGAGCTGGGATTCAAGAATAATTTTAGTAATGTCTTGCATTGCTTGTCTACATAATCCAAATTATCAATTTGACAGTAAAAGGAAACTAATACATAGTGCCAAAATTTGCACTACAGACCACCTTATTTAAAGTAGGTAAGTTTTCTTCATTTATTGTTGTATTTCTGACTATGGCTTGTGGCATATGAATTAGCAATTTTTTTCACTGAAATATGGCAGAAAACTATCTGCTTTACTCTGTCCTGAATATCTCTTTCAGAGCTCCTGACTTTTCTATTATTCAAATGATGTAGCTTATACTTGCACACAATATTAGAATAAGCCTGTAATTAAATACTAGCAGCGTGTTCACTTATATGAAAAAAATGCTGCCATTATACCAGTTAAACAGTAGGAGCAAGATCTTAGGCACTGAGAAACTTGGTGAGTTACCACAGAGACAGAAATGGTTGGAAGCAAGGAATTGAAGTTAGTCCCAAATATTGGTCTTGACCCTGACTTCAGTTAACAATATGGGCAACTTAGGCTCAGTTCCTAAGAAAATAATGAGGCAATAAGGGAACTTAGTATATATGTTTGCTGTTTGTTTTTGTTCGATTAGAAAAAAGAACATGCAGACAGACTGATTGGATAGTGCCTGACACCAGAAAGTGTCCAATTAATATTATTTTTCCTGATCTTTCTTGTGTTCATTTATAAGGTGTCACATAATACACTGACATTAATCTTGCTTATATGTCGAAGTGTTGCGAGACACAGGTTGATGTGTGTGACAGAGTGCTCACGGATTGTTCTTCCAAAGTTTTCACCCTGAACACTAAATCACAAGTTGGGGATAGGGGAGTTTCAAAGGATTGGAGATTTTAATTCTTTTTTTTTTTAAAGACTATGTCATTTAGACTACTTTATGTCTCACCTTTTTTTTTTTTTTTTCTGATCTGAATGATGACTCACATTTGTGACTCTTTGCAGACAAATACTGCAGTTTGAAAAGGAGTGAACTGAGAGACAGAAATCATTTTCATGGCAGTTAAAAAAAGTTGAAGTTAAGAATCTGTTCAAAGTCAGGAAATTTAAAGAAAAAAAAACCCCACGATCTTGCTTAACATTGCTACCTTCAACCCTTTCATTATTCTAAAGTTCTGATTTAGAGAAGTTTATTTTCTCTAAAATGCTGCATAGTATTTTCTTCAGGAGAGAAATTTGTGGGAGAGGAATATGAAGCAAGTTGTGAGTAACTAGCTTTTCATTAAGGATGGAATACTGATTAAATCACAGGCATTCTTTTAATTCACCCCACCTTCCAGTATTATTGGGGTTTAAAATTAGAATAGCCATATTTTGCAGTGAGCACTGAAGGGAACAGTGACCAGACACTGACAATGGAAAGGTCTCATTCTGAGGAGAGGGACTAGACTGCAGTTTGGCCCTTATGCAGCAATTTCGAAGAACACACTGATGTTACAAAAGGAGTACATGTCTCCTGAAATCAGAGGCACTCACCCATACAGAAGTTCAGGTCACTTTGAGCCAGTTTTCATGTTTTTGTGTGAGAAAAAGAAAACTTCTTATTTAAGGTTATGTATTGTGTATTCTCAAAATGTTTTAGTTCCTTTCAGGGCTGCTTTTATATACTTTCAATAATACAGGCAGTTCTGGGAAAGACATTCCTGAATAGTTATAAATAAATGGCCATAGTTGTACTATTAACTAGCCTTAGGACCTGGAATTCTACCAGAAAAGTACTTCTTGGCTTATATTTCATTTTAGAGAGCCTGCCAACAACTTGGAATTGAACCCCCCCATCTTTCTGTCAACTTAACACTTTCAGAGCCTCCTTTTAGTTCTGTAGACTAGGCAGGTAGGAGTCCGTCGTGAGATTAGGGAAGAGGAGAGGCAATGCCATGAACAGTTATAAAGAAGATGACACGATGGCCGGAGATTTAGCTCAGTGGTTCTGCCGCCTGCCTCGCAAGCTCAAGGACCCAAGTTCAATCCCCAGTACCAAAAAAAATTAAAAAAAAAATAAAGATGATGATAAGAGGTCACAGGCAGAAAGCTCTATAAAGGGACACAGATCCTGCTAAAGGCCATTTTATTGCTTTTCTATCTTTAGCTCTCCCAGATAGTTCTATGAATACAATTTAGCTCAATTTGCTGGAAAAAATATTTTGATATAATAGATCATGGGGTTTAAAACCATTGCTATGGAGTGATCAAGTGTACAGCTATGATCTATATTAAAAAATGTTCTGGATTCAAGTCAGGATATTAGTGGTTTGGAAGTTACCCAAGTCACAAACTTTCTATGGCTTAGAGATCTCTTAGAGATACTTATTTGACAAAACAATGATTATTTATTACATAAGGAAGAGTAATGGCATTCCTTTCATCAGAAATCACATTACTTTTAAAATCTATTTAGTCACAGAACTTTCTCGCTGTGGTTTTTCTCCTTGAAGGAAGTTGCATTTTCTCTTTCTGCTCCTGATCACTTCCCATCTCTTACTCTTGGGGACATCTCTAGTGAAGACTGTGGGGTAGCAGGCCATGGGGGACGCACGACATCACAGATGCTTTGTGTTTTCCTTGGCCTCATCTATTGGAAATAGTAACTAACTCTTGCTTAAGCTGGTAGGAGAGGAACTGTAGAAAACCAATTTAGCCGAAGAGAAACTATTAGTCTTCATTTTCTTGTTTTCAACATGCAAACACAGTTTGTTAAATACACTTCTTCTCTAATCCTCATTAGAAAATCTTGAAGAATGGCAGGACAGGAAACAAACATGGGAACTATTTTTAAAACATCAATAAAAATAAAAATCAGAATTGTTTCTTTTCATTCAGACTGTCTGTACATATTTAGAGTTGGTTCATTTGAAATTTTCCATTAAATAATTTTACTACTACTTAAATGTGAATGAATGATACACACACAATCCCAAATGTATCTCTTTATTTAGAATTTGCTTGTTTGACTTGGAGATAAAATAATTTAAAAGGAATGACAGTATATGAAATTATTTTTCACTCAGTGGTACCGCTAGGACTGAAGTATATTGCTGTATGTATCTCTGAAGAGAAAGCTTGCATTAAACATAGTCTATTGGCAATTCTCAACAGCTCCAACTCACTATTACTTGAAGAGCTGCATTTTTCAGGCCCAGAAACACAAGATGACAGATCAGTACTGTAGGGCAAAGTGCATTTAAAGTATACCAGAGACAACAAACAAGGTAGTTAGATGTCTGGCAGGCACTGATAAAAATTGCAGGTTTCTAATGATTACAGATAGAGGTGGTGCATAGAACCAACCAATGAGGATTGAGCAGTGGACCTGATTTCCTTTTAAAATCTACAATTTTGGGAACACTTCATGATATTTAAAAGCATTCTAGGTTTTAAAACAACTTAGAGTTTAAATTCCAACAATTTCCTTTCTGGCATCCATTCTAAATATGCCTTTAGTTTCTGTAGGTCCTACCCACCCATACTTTATGTCACTTTTGTTATACACTCTTCCTCTGATGTTCCCAAGGATATTGTCTCACTTGCTGTGGCAATAGTACTGCCTCAGGGCCTTTGCATTTGCTATACTTTGCCTAGAGCTATCTTCTCCCAGTTCTTTTCTTTTCTTTTTTTCTTTGTTTTTTTTTGGTACTGGGGATCAAACTGGGGTCCCTGAGCTTGCGAAGCAGGTGGTGGAACCACTGAGCTAAATCCCCGGCCCTTCCCAGTTCTTTTCTTATTAAGCAAGTTTTCCCTAACCACCCTTTTAAAGCTGTATGGCCCTGCCTAGACTTTCACACAGTATGTGCATTCAACATATCCTGTTTCACTGCATTGTTTTCTATGAGCACAGGAACTTCTGTCCACTTTGCTCACAACTTTCTACCTAGTGCTGAGGACAGTGTTTGGCATGCAATTGTCCAAAAACACCCACTGAATGAATGGCAGCAGAATCTGTTGCAAACTGAAGTTCTAAATAGGAATACCTTGTGTTTAGTATTAAGTCAGAAACATTCTTAATGTCATGGACTTTTGGTATTCCTACTTCAGAGCCAGAGGAAAGAAACTGTGGGGTTACCTGTTGTCACGGGTCACAAAAGCAGCAGGCTGAAATGTCGCTGGGATTCAGCAGTTAAATAAATGTGTGAAGGTAGAAGCAAGGCACCAGGAGTGGTGGGGACTGGGACAAGAAGAGTTTACAGAGTGCCAATGTAAAGGCTTTCGGATTTGACACAGCCCAGTATGAGGAAAACCATCCACCTCTATTTTCAAAGACCCTCTTTGGCTGCCAGCTGTGGCCAGTAGAGTCAAGAAGACATTTTCTAAGTTACACTGGGTTTTCTATCTCTTTTTAAATGGTGTTCTCAGGCTTGGGTATGTGCCTGACTCCATATCAGGACAGGAATATTCAATTGATCAAATCTAATTGCATTTGCTTCCCAACTAAATTGTTTATCACCCTCCCCTCTTGTGAGAGAAATGGCCCCTCTTGGGTCCTCAGCATCTGATTATTGCAAACCTAACTGATTTGCAACATTTCATTAATAAAGTTAACTAAAACTAATTATACATATTGAATAAAATTTCCTGTGAAATGAATTTTCTATTTAGCTTAAGGGTCTTAATTGTTAGACTGAATTACTGAATAAGATTGCAGAATTGCCTTCTCTTGGGATGGAATGAATACATATATATGTATATATATACCAGTTTTTTTCCACAGTCAATATGGATTAAAGGATGGTGACACCATAAAAACTAGAAAAGAAAAAAGTTGATTAAATATGAAAGTTAGAAAAGTTGAAGTATCTTCCCAAGAAGATAAAATCATAAAATAGGTTACACAGATCTCTTTACAGTCTTTATGTTAAATTATGTTTATTAATTTTGTCACATTATCTTAAAGACTCTAAAATAAATTAAAATTTAAAATTTATTTGTATTTCTGGTTGTATTCACAGTGCAGACTTCCCTTCAGTTAGTTGGTGTGTACATACTGTGTTCTCCACTTTTTAATTCCGACGGTATGTTTTGTTTAATTAGTCTCTATTTAAATTTTAATTCCGGGAGGTGTCCAGGAGGAATCTTATCCCATTTCAATTGCTCCAAACCTAACTGATGCTCTGTAGGTCAATGCTTTCCACAGGACCACTTCCAGTGTTCCTTATTTGTTCGCTTGTGCATAGATAAACATACTCTATGTGAAACAAAGTCTAGCATTCATTAATGGTTGAGGGTTGAGCAAAATATATCTGTTTCAATAGGGTTATACAATAATCTTAAATATCACAAGATCCTGTTATTATTGTCATTAATGACCCAAATTTGATATGCTTTGACTTAGCCCAAGCAGATTTCTTGCTTTGCACTGTTAAGGAAGACAGTTGTTTCATCCTCATACCCCATCTTGGTCTGTATACTGACTGCACTGAAGGGAGAAGGAGATACTGAAAAACCCATCTTGTTTTTCTCTTTGACTGGGAACATCCTGAGGAGCCAAGATGTGCTCTCTTGGTCAATGACAGCACTTACCCTCTGCTCAGTTCTGTCTGTTTCTTTATGGTGCCCATCCTGTGCGCAGAAGTATTTGACTTTCCCTGGATGAGAGGAGGGAGTACACTGCTCCTAGCTGGATTTGGGGCTCACAGTATCATGTTCCTGCTGTCCCAGGGCTCTTTGAGTGAGTCTAGTATTTGTTTAAATTCTGGAAAGGTATCAAAGGCCTATTCAGATAACTGATTATCTTCTACTGGGTCTGCACTGCATTACATTTCTGTGATACTCTAGACTTTTCTGGAATTTAAAAAATTACTCCTATATGCCTCCTAAATCTTCTTAAAAGGAACATCTAATGAGTTGAAGAGAGAAGATGACAGCACTCTTGTGCTAGTTGAAAGTTTTTCCTTCCAGCAAAACAGCTTCTAAATTTAGAGTAATTCTCTGAACTCTTTTAATTGTTAAACATATAAATAGTAATCTAACTTGAAGTAGTATCTCCTGCATAGTCAGCTATATGTTAAGCATATCTGGCCATATTATTTTAGCAAAAGTATAATATTATAGATAAATTCAGAGTAAACCTGCTTAGCCTAAAAAGAAGTTTTTAAAAAAATTTTATTTATTTTTATTTAAAGCAACCGCAAATGGTTGTTTTCCTTGCTTCTTTTCCATTGGTAAGATTCTGGGACTGATATTTTAAAATTACACACTGGGTCCAAAGTTTTGCTATTTACGTTTTTGTATAAAAATGATATTATTAGATGTGTAAGGAAAACATTGGCTGGATATTTATATCCCTTTCTCACAACTATCCATGTAGCTTTCTTAACTCTTATGCTTCAATAACTCAAAGACAAATTTGTTTTTAAGTTTTTATCTTGTTTCATCATTAGTTTAGGGAACAAATGCAAATGAATTGCTAGGCAAAGTGACTGAGAAGTAATCAAGGCTGTTGTTCCATTAATGGGATCATATTATTGGAAAACTGATGACTAAGGGTTTTAAGAACATACTATAACATGGGTACTTATAGCAATTAAAAGTGAAATCAGGCTACTGTTTATATATAAAATCAAAAAGATTTGTAATATCATGTACATTTCTATAAAAAAGGGTTCTAGTACTTATTTTGTTTGGCTCTCAAAATTGCTTACAAACATAAATCAGCTTTAAGTCACATCTATCATTGTAGCAAAACTAAAACCTTAGAGAAGTTTTGCTTACTTGGAAATGTCAAGGATATAGGTAAACACATCATCAATCATATATTTTAATATTTAGCTCAATGCAACTGTAGTTATCTCTTTTCTTAATTTTTTTCCCCAGTACTGGGGATTGAACTCAGGACCTTGTGCTTGCCAGGCAGATGGGGTGCCACATCCCTAGCTACATTCCTAGCCCTCTTTTCTCAATGTTTAAGATATCAAGAATCTCTCAGTTTAAAAGAGTACATAAAATGCTTAGCTCCACGTGTGGGGTGTGTGTGTGTGTGTGTGTGTGTGTGTGTGTGTGTTTTCTGGGAATTGAACCCAAGGCCTCCCACATGCTATGCATGTGCTCTCCCACTGAGCTACACACCCAGTCCCATTTATCCCTTATGTTGTAATAGTCAAACAAATAGGAAAAAGGAAGAGGCCAGTGAGAAATATAGCCCCAGTAATGTAACACTGAGAAAATTGGAATTTCAAACATATTAAAAATTTTCAAGTAAGTTACAGAGTATAAACTCTTCTTACTAAGCAGCACTGAAAGGCCACTGCATTATTAATAAATTTGTTTACAGTATTCTGTCCAGTACAACTTCTGATGAGGATAGAAACGTTCTGTATGTGCACTGTCCACTAGCTATGTGTGTCTACTGTGCACTTGAGTTGTGGGTACTACAACTGAGGAGCTAAATGTTTAATTTTATTTCACTGTAGTCAATTCATATTTAAACTTAAATAGTTACATATGGCAAATAACTACCATACTGGATGATACAGGTCTATAGATTTTTAGCCATCAAATATGTGTTTTTTAATTCTTTTAAATGTTCTAATCAGATATTTACCCTTTGAAGTCAGTAAACTTCAAAACAAACTCTTTGGACCTATAAAATAAGCTCTGAAATTCTGTTTGCCCGTGGATAGTTAAAATCAATAAGGGATCAGAGTCCTGTAGTTGTAAGTTGGAAAAAATTTGAACAGGATGTTAGAGTTCAGAAGTTCCTTCCAAAAACACGGTGTATATTTACATATATACCAGAGCTCGGGATAGGGCCTTGGAGGGATTATTTTATAGGAAACCAAGAGCAAACTTCTGGTTAGTGGTAGAACTGGCAAAGAATTAGGTCTTTAATGAACAACAAAAAAAATCTTCCTAGGATGAGGTTTGTTTTACTTGTTCACCTGAAACTTAAAGCTTGAAAATGTTTAAAGTTTTAAAGTATGCTTTCTTCAGTGCTCTGTTATTCTTAAGCAGATCATAGGTATTTTGGAAGTTTTTCCACAAATGTGTGGATGTTAGGAAATGAAGGCTTTGGAAATAGAGGAGAAGGGAGGTGAGTTCAAGGTTCTGCTCCAGCAGGCTTCCCTGGTACTAAGGTACTAAGGTGCTTCTGTTGCTGCAGGGCCAGTGGGGTATTATGCAGAAACAACTCTTGGTTAGTACTCTTGGGATGCATCTTGTCTTTCTGTCACCTTATCTAGGATATGCACTTTATCACACTGCTTCCAGAGCTGAAGTGTTGCTGAAAACAAACATAGCTCAGATCCCCAAATTTATGTGCACTTTTAAAAGCAAAACAAAACAAATAACAAAAATAACACACACTGAAAAATCCAACGCACGCACACACACACACACACACACACACACCCTCAAACCAACCAAACCAAAACCTAAAGATATCCAGTGACAGAACTCTGTAGAATGTTACTATTTTTATCTTTAAGATTAAAACAGTCCTAGTTTCCGAACACCTAGTTTCCGAATCATGGAGTCCCTTGCAGAAAGTGTTTCATACTTGCTAATCTGTCAAAGAATAAAGTCACTTCTATCTGTCTCCTAAGTCAGCACTTACCTACCCTCTACAATGATAAAATAGAATTACAGTATCTTCAGAATGATATAAGCTACTTTTTCCTTTCCTCTGGGAAGCTGAGGCTTGAGGCTTATCCTTTGAGTTGAGTCTTTTTTTTTAAGCCTACTAGTTGGGTAAATCAAGGATTCCTTTTATGAAAAATATCAGATAGGCTCATGACATAGTGGTGGTCAAAGCAGTTACAGCCGATCTTGCTGCTCCATGTCAGATTCTGAAAGATTTAGTGTCCTGCCACATGATGCTCTGTCATTAATGCATGTCACAGGGTTAGACTGCCTCTACCTCCAGTTTCATACAATATCTCCTCCATATCTCATCACTGGAGTAAGGGAGAAGTTTGTAGGGATGAGACTCTGAGATATGTGGGTTTTCTGAGCATGTCAATGTTTTAGGTTTATGGTCTTGAGAACTGTGGAAGTGAGTACCAGGGGATCACAGAGCACCAATCCATTGCCCCAGATGGCTGAGAAGAGAGCACAGTTATATCCAGCTGGCCCTGCCCAACAAAGGGAATATCGCTCAAGCAATCTCCTATGGCTAGGAAGGGTCTCTGCCAAGAGACTGTAGATCTCTTAAATGGTTTATGCTCACTAAACAAATGGAAATATTTTGGTAATTCTTACACTGTTTACATTTAACATCATAAATACGTACATTTAAAATCTGTGTATTGCAGGGAATAGAATGAGATTAGGATTCTCTTCTTTTCTCCTCCCTCTACCTCTTTCATAAAACAAAGATGTGTGTGGCTTATTGTGTTACCTCCAATGTTGACTTATTTAGAGAAAACTACTGACAGATACAATGCTGGAGATGTAAGACACTTACCTGGTGGCCACTTTCTGGGATGGCTTCAGTAACTTATTGAGATAAAAACCCGGCCATCTTAGACCAATCTATCACATCTCAAATCTGGAAAGAAAAAGAGAAGTTAAAACGGTACACAAATGAGATCAGATTTTTATTTTTTAACGTACACAGTTGGCATTAGCATTGCATATTAAGAACGTTTTAGAAGGGAATAAAATCATCTGTTCCACATCAAGACCTATTTTCCTTCTCTAGAGCTGGGTTGTACAAAGTGGCTGCCATAGAATCTTATCTGTTTCCTGCTTACGGTCACCCCAATACCTTGTTGACACATGCTAGAGAGAGGGAAAAAGAATTCTTTTTGTAAAATAGTATAGTCTTATTTTATGATGCTTTCTGTAGAGATGCTACTGGAAAAATAAATGATAATGAATTGCATTTTTACTTATGAATTTAAGTTAAACTTTGATAAATAATCTTTTCTTTTTAAATAAAGTTTATACAAGTGTTATTGCACCATAACTTAACAAACACCTTTGTAAAGATCCTTTTTTCCTCTTTTTTCATTGAAGTAATACCTGCATATAGTATAAATTTTGAGTTACAGAAGAATATAAAATAAAATAAGCATCTATTTCCTTGTCATCTCTGTCTCTGGATTCACTAACCAGGATACTTACAAGTAAATAATTTCTAGTGTATCCCTGTAGAACATTAAAAAATCTATACACATGTGCAAAAATACTCACATTCTTTCTGTTTATATGTTGCATTATTTAGCTCTTTTCTGTCTTTAGTAATTTTACTTAATAGTATGACTAAGGGAACTTTCTATATCAGTATACTTAAATCTCCCTCATTCCATTGATGATCATATAATATTCCATTCAGTGCACTAATACATCCTCATTTATTTAACCAGTCTGCTATTAACATGTTTTAATCTGTTTTTTGCCAATTTCCCTTTTGTCTGAAAGGGAAAACAAAAATGTCTCAGTCACAAATTTATATATAAACATTCTTGTACTTATATGAATGTATCAGTAGGGTAAATTCTAGATAGAAGTGTTGAGCCAAATTGTTTGTATAATCTAAATCTGTGATAGATATTTACAAAATGGCTTCTATAAAGGTTACAACAAAAGTCTGGTACTAAAAATCTGTACTTCATCAAATCATCCTTAATTCGATGTTTTTTAATTTGTCGTTCTTTAATTGTGAAGGAAGGTTGACTTCTTATTTTCTTATTACTTTCAGTAGTTACTCTACTGGTTTGCTCAGATCTTTGCTCATTTTTCACTTGGATTGTTCAGTTTCTCATGTTAAAGGGTTATATTACAGAAATTGCCTTTTTATATGTAATGTGCAGCAATAGCCTCTCCTGGTTTTTTGTTCATCTGTGGAATTTGCTTATGTACTTTTTGTTATACAACTATTAATTTATTTTTATGTTCATCAGTATTTTTCAGTATGGATTTGGAAGATTTTTTGTACAGCTGAGATTGTATATAGGTTACTTTAAAAAATACACAATCAACTCTAGTAGTATTGTAATTTAGAATTTTGGCATTATAAAGATGTACTAGCAAAAGATGTTTTCCATAAGATGATTTCTCCTATAAAATACCAAGATGGTATGAAGGCTATTTGGTTTTTTTGTAAAATTCTAATAAATTTTAGGTAAAAATTACCAAAAGAATAAGATTTACAATATTATTCACCAGAGAGTTAATACAGGTTGTTCAAGACTTGAAATCCAGAGTGAATTATGAGGAAAGTAATAGAAATTCCAAGACAAATAGAAAGTGAGAAATAAAAATGGAATAGGCATTCATTACAGGAAATTTGAAAAGCAGATACAAACTAAAGAAAAAAATTAAACCTAAAATTAATAACTCTCAAAAGCTTTTAAGATTATCTTGCCATGAAATGCTACAATATATGAAATGTGTTATATATAATAGATAATGAATATATAATTCTATATCACATGGCTTAAAATCATGTCTGTTTATTCTTATTGCCACTCTTCTCTCAGCAGATCAAAGTTCAAGAAGTCATTATGCAGAGGTCACATCAGATTCTTTTCCATTCCTGATAAAGTGGCACCAGTGAACTATGTGAAAGTTAAAGGCTGGGAGACATCATAGTTCAATGTGTTTTATGGGAAGTGGCATCATTCAAATGGAAAGAGAATTAGGTTATTAAATCTGAATTAATAGAACATTCTTTTTTCTAGAGGCATACCACATAGATTTAGAAGCATGCAAAAATGCATTTGAATTGGATAACAAGGATAATTTGGGTCATAAAGTAAAATTATGATCATAAAATTATAAATGCATGAAGTTTACTAGAAGAAATCCTGTAAGATTTTTCAATCTGTTTAGGAAAAGAAACCCTGATATAGATTGTGTTCTGCCACAGTCACGAGGTCACAAGTATTCAGGCTTAGTGAAACTGTGGAACTCTAAAAGCCACAGGGGATAATCATTGGTACTTTATCACTTTTCAGCAGGAAGAGACTCTGCTTGCTATGTGCAAGGTATCTTCTAGGTACTATTTCCCCTTCCTAGCCCCTGCTGCACAGCATTACAGCAGGCCTAGGTTGACTTTGCCCCAATCTATATAACTTAAAAGTTGGACATTGTGCTGTTTGTGCTGCCTGGATATGTTGAGTTCTACAACCAAGCAGTTGGTGAAGTTTTGTCTCCCACAGATGTGCCTTCACTACGTCACAGTGCTCTGTCCTGTTGGCACACCTCTCTTCTCAAACACGATCCCAGGGAACCTGGATTCAGCTCAGTCTTTCCAGAAACACAAACAAGTTGTGGTCCAAACAAGAGACCTCTGGACAGACTCTTCCGACAGATGTCAGAGAATGTGGATGCACTGGGAGAAATACTTCAGGAACTAAATCATGTGGGGAGTCACTGGCTTAAAATACACACATGTGACCACTTCTCTGGGGACTAAATGTTTAGTATCTGTATCTGACTGCAGTTTTAAAACCATGCTTGTGGTAAATAAGTATTTATATTAAAATCTTAAAAAGTAATATATAATTTGAATTAGAATGCTGAAAAAACTAAATAATTTATTTAAGAGACAACTTATAACATTAGAACACCAAAAGGTAAACTGTAAATTTTAGGTAAAGGCCGGGAAAATAGAGATATAAAAAATTAACTCCTAAAAGTATATAATCTACTTTTTTTTAGATAGCCTCATTATGTTGCTTAAGCTGGCTTTGAACTCCCAGACGAAATGATCCTACTGTTTCAAACTTCTGAGTAGCTGGAACTACGGACACACATCCCCATGCCAGCTACAATTATTTTCCTAAAACTTGGTTGAGGTAAAACTGATATACAAAACTCTACACACATATTAACTGTATTCATTTTGATGAGTTTGGATGGGTTGTCATCATGTTAATAATGTTTGCCAACTAAAACAGGAATTTCTAGAATTCTCATTATTATACTTAATGGCAAATGCATGACTAAAATGGACTAGATCTAAATTTTTTTCCCTGTGAAGTAAAGAGATCTTGAGTTCAAATGACAACTTTAAATAAATTCTCAAATAATTAGTTTGTATTAAAAAATAGGCAATCAAGTATAGAATAAACACTGTGGTTAGCAACTAAGAGCACAGACTTTGAGATCAGAATTTCTGTGTCTAAATCTTGACAGGATCAGTTGCAGCATTTGGGTGAGCTATTTCTCTCATTACTCAGAATTCAATCTATAAAATGAGGGCAAAGTAATGGCTGTCTCATTGGGTTGTTGTGAAGATTAAATAAAGGACATTTAAAGGCTGAACATTGTGTTTTTCATAGGATATATGCTCAGTAGACATTAGCTTTATTAAAAGTCCAAGAAAATAACCTCTGCGTAAACATTTTATGCAAGCCGTAAGTATTTATATTGTACTTCTGTAACTTTGATGCATATTGAAATCAACCAGGACTCTTGTTAAAAATGCAGGTTCTTATTCAATGGACCTGGATGGGGTATGAGATTCTGTATATGTGATAAACTTTCAGGTCACATGCAGAGTGCTGGCATGTGGACTGTGACACCTGAGATAATTGTGGATGCTTGGTCCTAATCTATACTATGATGTTTCTCAGCAGGGCAAATGGAGATGGGGTAGGAAATATGGCTCTTCTCTCTCTCTCTCTCTCTCCATATATATATATATATATAAATTATATTCATATGTATATATCTTATTTTATTAGTACATGTTTGCAATACATAATCATTATAATTATTGTGGGGAGTTGGTACATGTCCCAGGTGATTCTAACATTCCTGCCTTACTTGCCTCTCAACACCTTATCATTGATTTGATATTTTAACCTTTTATTCTTTTCCATTTTCATTTCTTCTTCTTTACTTTCTCCTTGCCATTGATGCTTTAGATTGACAAATGATATTAAGGCCTAGTTCTCCAATTCGTAAGACTGAAGCATCAAGTTTATGTCATTTTATTGTAACAGGATAATATACTCAGGCAAACTTGGAAAACTAGTTTCTAACATTTCTCTTCTGACATGTAGAGATCTGAAAATGTACTTAAAATTTCCCATAGCTTTAACTGAAAACCACCAACCAACAAATGAGCACAGAATTAACTTTTGAAAGGTATTTAATAGTGGAATATAAGGCCACACTGGGTGTGGGCTGTACTGTCACGGGAATTCTATTCCTATGAGAAAGGGAAGTGGCTGGAACCAAACAGTGTACATGTACTAGACGTGCTGCCTAGATTGAAAGGCAGGAGAGAAGGAGGGGACATTTTGTAATGAATTACTTCCTTTTCTAAATATGTGCTTAGCTTGACCAACAACTCTCCAGGGCAAAGACCATCTTTGTACTTTGATGTGCCCGTAGGACCTAATGTCACTCAGATCTGTGGCATTCCCTCTGCAAGAAACTGCTATTGTTGGTACATTTCATAGATGTATTTCTTTATTTTCCAAAGTAGATAAGAGAAGCTTTAATTAATATAAAATGAGAAAATATCTAGAGAAAAATGGAGCACAAATCAACAATCATAAATTCTCATGAAGAGCGCACAGCTGTATGTGTGTTTTCTAGTATTCTGACTCCGAAGTTAATCAGAGTACTTAAATTCATTGATCTATATAAGATTTTAACACCCTTTGGTGAAGAACAGGACATCATATATGTGTATAAAGTGAATAATAAACCACACAACATTTGACACAAGCTGAAAAATTATTAATTTATGATTTTAAATTTGAAGCATATCTAGAACTGAACTTGAAGTAGGCATATTACAATTATGAAAAATAAAGGATAGACATTGCTTACCCATTTCTAAACTTTGAGATGTTACAAAAGTAACTAAGTGTGACACTAGCAATACATTAAAAAAAATACCCCTGGAGCTGAGCATGTGGACACACCTGTAATCCCAGCACTCAAGAGGCTGAGGCAGGAGGATCGGAGTTCAAGGCCAGCATGGGCTGGGCTACATGGTGAGTTCACGGTCAGCCTGAACAACATAGTGAGATCCTGTTACAAACAAAAAACAAACAAACAAACCTCTTGCATATTGAAGGAAACTAACAATAACAGATTCTAGATATTAATTTCTACTAATGACAATATTGAAGAACCTTCAAAATTGATGTACAAGAATAATGAAAAATAAAGCAGTCACATAGCATTTACACTACACAGTGAATTTTTTTGTTAGTAAAATATTTTGAGATACTGTATAGTTTTAGTTTTCATATGCAAGGGGATATTTTTCTCCTTAAGAACCTCTGGTGCGAAGAACAAAAAATCAATATCAGGAGCCTTTACTGCTAATACAACCAGCAGATAGTAGCAATATTCACTTTTCCTTGTTTGACTATCCTAAACATATACTTTGTTTTTATTTCCAATGGTCAAATTTGACATTAAAATAACCACTAACAAATGAAACATCTGGTAAATATACAGTTCTTTATATTTTTTGAAAAATTGTATTTTAGTGCTTTAATAGTCATTACAAAATCAATCGAGTATTACTTTAAATCTCTATAGATATTCCTTGATTTGAAGTGGCTTTTATAATAAGCTATTAAAAGGTTTAGAAGCTAAAATTCATATCATGAATAGTATAGAAGATGTAGAGTTAATTTAGGCTAGAAATTGAACAAAATGTTTATCAGATTTAGTATACTGTTTTAATATGCCCCAACGTGAAATGAATCACAAATCACATAACCCAGTGACTTAATTTTGAAGAGAACCGTTAGAACTACTTTGAAGAAAAATAACAGAAGATTCCAATGATGATGTGTTTAAAAGCTGACTTTCGAGTTGACTAAATAATATGCGAAAAAAGTGTTCCTAAGCTGGCTTGGACATGTCTTCATTTTTGTTTTTCCAGGTCCAAATTTATTTATTGCCACAGTGTGCCTTCAAGACAGTTTTTTAATCTTTACAACACTTGGACTTAAACTTTTAAACAAAATCCCTAATTGACTAGCACACTCGAGACACTGTGACATTCCCCAATCATTCTGAGCAGGCGAAGTATTAGGTAAATTCATAAGCATGAGGTTAAAGGGTAGGTGTTAACATTAGGCAGCCAAAACGTGTAAATGGGACAGGACTCTTATCTTTGTCCCTGTAACAGATTCGAAAGCAAAATACAACTCTCAGTTATCTGCTTTAAAGTACAGAGGAGACAGGCATCGTGCATCTAAACTGTGAGTTTCTAATTTCTTCTTAGCTCTGTATTTCACTTGAGCTTTGGGTAAGTAGGAGATTAAATTTTTCTTTCTTTATTTTCTTTCTTGAACAGGGCAAAATTAGTCATTGCTATTAATTAATCATAGCAAAAAAAGTAGTAAGTATAACAGCAGCAAAAAACCAAAATGAAGATTATATACACATTATATACAATTCTGACACCAAACTAGAAAGAAGACAAAAGTGAGAAACCTGAACCATCTCCAGATTCCTCTCTTTTTGAACACTGACCCAAGGTAAGACAGAGAGGAAAGACTTAAACTCAGGGTGCTGTGGGACAGGAAGTCTTGCCTCAGCTCAAAGATGGAGAGACATTTTGTAAATCTCAGGAATGTCAATTCTCCGATTGACACCAGAGGAGCCAGTGGAAGAAAACTCATGTTCTTCGGAGTTGGATAATTGGGGCAATTGATTCAATTTAAGATCAAAGAAGAACAGAACCAGAATTCAAGCCCTGATAATGGGAACAAAGAACAACAGGTCAGGAAAAAAGGATGAGTCATAGTAGATAACAGAATTGAAACAAATAATCATGAAACTGTAGCAAATGTTGAAACCTAGTAACTTGAGGATACTTCCTGACCCCTAAACCACATTATAGGAACTGCTAACCATAATCTGGGGAATGGATATTTGATGCTATCACTGGAAAATTTATTGTTCATTAGAGCAGATAATCTAGCATGAAGGCTATACAGCTTTGAAGACTTCAAAACATGGAATAATGGAGTAATTGTTTTAGAAATTTATTCTTTAAGCAATAACTAAGAAACAAAAGGAATCAAAGATTTTTTTTATCACTGGAAGAAGCCTTATGGACTGAGCTCTTCAGAGTTACTAAAAAACACTACTAATATTACATTGCTAGCTAAGTGGGAGTCTCCTTCCCATCTCCCTTTTTTTCCCCTTCACTCCTTTTAGAAAGGATGGAGAGGAAGAACAGGGTCTCAGAGAGTCCATCACAGCCTGGAAGAGATATCTGCGTGGGGCTTTTATAGACAGGAAAACACCATAGGAAAAAGGGAAGAAGCACAGTGGGGTTTGTTTGTTTGTTAATCCAGGGCCTCATTTGTGCTAGGCAATTGCTCTGCCACTGAGCCACACGCCCAAGCCCCTATAGTTTCTTTTGTAGAGAACACTGTAAAGGGGTTAAATTTATGCTCAGGGGAATAAACTCCTTGGTCCTAGGCCCCTCAGGTGGTAAATGCCTAGAGGATCATGTTGAGTATGAAGCACCTAAAGAGGAGACACAAGTTGCCCAACAGTTACAAAACAGAAGAGTAGGGTGTGGGGTTTATCCTCTCCTTCACTGTTACTTTCTCTTCCTGAAACAACACAGGAAATAAATGTGCCAAATTCCAAATGTGACCACAGGGGAATAAGCACCCAGACTTACTTTCTTTTTTCACTCATACTTTCATTAAGAAAGGCTTGTAAAAGCTGGTAGTGAGTTTTTGATACTCAGTGAGGCCATTGGCAAACAAGGGTAAAGAGCTCCACAGGGGGACAATAAGCAGGCTGTAAGACAGAGGGAGGGCCTACCTTGGGGAAGATTCACTGCTATCTTCGAGAACATAGCAGACTGACCTTGTGGAAGCACTGAGATGGATGTCTGAGAGAACTTGAACATTAGGTGCCAGGCAGAAAAGGGGAGTGGAGGACAAGGACTTTTGCTTAAAATCTTGCCTCAGCTCCACACGTGCACAGCCCAAGGCTGTGGGGGCCTCTGCTGTGGAGAAGAGGGGAGGGGGGGTCCCCCCTCCACCCCCCCGTGAATCAGAGGACACCTAGGAACACCTCAGGATGGGAGAGTTTGTCCCAGTTGGGGACAACGACCCAAGCAAGGACTCAAGGGCAGAGTTTTCAGGGAGAGGGGGAAACCAAGATGGGCTATCTTCTGGGAAGCAAAGGGAGGGGTTGAGGATGCCTGAAACTTCACCCTCAGGCAGCACAGCTTTCACTTGGGCTGCCAGCGGGGTCGCACAGGCTCCCCCCTCAGCTCACAGTTAAAGACAAGAGTTATCTAAAAGCCTCCAGAGAAAAGTTTGCTGGGTTGCGTCCCATTTGTATAGATTTCTAGCTTTTATTCGAAAGAGTTTGGTGGAAACAGGACGAAATGTTTGGAGCACAAAGGAAATATGCCCACCTCTTCGCCGCCCACCAGAAGCCCCTCACTCTATTTGGGGAAAGGCAGCCTGCTCCAGAGTGGGCGCTAACAGAGCATGTGGTCGACCTCCGGGGTCCTCTGAGCATCCCAGCACGGCGCCCACAGTGAAGACACCAACACCCGAAGCTTGCCATTCTGGTCCCCGAGGTTCCCAACCCGGAGCGTCCCCTCCAACTCACCGGTGCTCACGTCCGCCGCGAGGCGTCCCGGCAGCGCGCCCCGGGTGCCGGCCACCTCCGCCGCTCACCGAGACTGCGGCCGGGCCCAGAGCTGCTCGCCGAGCGTCCTCCCGTGCGCTCCGTCACTCGCTGCCGCCTGTGGTTCCAGCGGCCCGGAGTCGCAATCAGCGGAGAGGAGGCTGCGCCAAATTTATAGCAAGGGGCGTTGCTGCTCCGCGGGTTCCAGGGACTAGGCTGTGCTTCCGCGCTCCCTCCTCGCCCCGCCCCGCCCCAGGAGACCCTCCGGGGCCCACCCCGCGCTCCCGGGATTCTAACGGCTGCCAGGCTGAGGCCAGAGCCCCTCAGCGTCCCCTCCCAGGCCCGCGCTCACCTGGCCTGCAGCCCTGCCTGACATCTTGAGGGTCGCGAGGAAGGAGAGAGCTAGGGGTAGAGGAGCTTCGTTTCGGTAGAGATAAGTCTTCCCCCACGTCGGGTATTACTGTTATTTTAACTTGGGTAACTTTTAAGGTCGAATTAAGGAAACTTTGTCTTTCCTGTGAGTAACTCAAAATTTGACAATACTGCTGTGGATCACAGCTCACATAGATTAATTTCAGGGTTATAAGAGTGGACATTTATTTTCTCCTTTTGGAAATGCTAGGAGTGTTGCATTTTTAAAAAATGTAAAAATAGACAAAATTGTAAAACAAAACATCACCAAATATTTAAGGACAAATTAATATCAATTCTTCACAAAATCTTCCAAAAAATAGAGGAGCAAGGAACATTTCCTATCCCATGGTTTTGAGTTCAGTACTACTGATGCCAAAATCAGATAAAGACATAAGAAAACTACAGAGAAATAGTTTATATTATTATAGACAAAAATCCTCAATGAATTGCAAGGAGTTTGAATCTGTACCATATTAAAAGGATTATACACCATGACCAAGTGAGATTTATCCCAGAAAAACAAGAGTAGCTTACCATAAATTAATCAGTGGACTCAAGGTCAAAATCCATATGGTCATCCCAATAAGTTAAAAAAAACCATTTGAAATAATCCAACATTCTTTCATGATAAAAATCATAGAACAAACTAGGAATAAAAAAAGAACTTAGAGCATCATACTCAATATTAAGTCTACAATCAGACACAATGATGTCTGGTCTTCCACTTCTATTCGACTTTGTACTAGAAGTTCTAGCCAGGCCAAGCAGGCAAGAAAAAAAAACAAGTAAAAGACATGCATATTAGAGAGGAAGTCAAACTGTTTTTATTTGTAGATGACTTAATTTTATATTTTAAAAACCCTAAAGAATTAGCTAAGAGATAAAAAGTACTAGGGCTAATAAATGAACTGAGCAAGTTTCAGAATATAAGATCAACGTAAAAAATAAGCTTTATGTCTATACACTGGCAATGAAGAATCAAAAATAAAAGTAAGAAAACAATTCCATTTACCATGTTACAAGAGACTAAAAATATTTAGGAACAAATATAACAAAAAGAATGGGCTGTAGGTGTAGCTCAGTTGTAGGGTATGTGCTTAGCATGAATGAGAACCTAGTTTCAAAATTTAGCGCTGAAAAGAAACAGCGTAAAATTTGTACATCCAAACCCAAGAAACATTGTTGAAATAGATTAGACCTAAATAAGTGGAATGACACTCCATATTCATTAATTGGAAGATTTAAAATTATGACAATGGCATTTTCTTCCAAATAATCTACTAATTTGGGGGCCGGGGATTTAGCTCAGTGGTTCTGCCACCTGCCCCAAATAATCTCCTAATGAAACAGACTCTGTAGCAAAATCCCAACAAGCTTTTCTTCAAAGACTAAGCCTAAAATTCATATGATATTACAAGTGACCCAGAATAGTCAAAATAATTCTTTTTTTTTGGCTTAAATTCTTTCATTGGTACATTTTAGGTATACAATACGTTTACATTTATCATTGCACGCTTGTACCTGTACATGATGTATCCTGGTTCTTATTTTTTCCCCATTCCCTGTCCTCCCTTTCACCCCCTCCACCCTTCCCTATTGACAAAGACTTCGTTTCCATTTTTTCCTTTTCTCTTAATTTTTCCTTTCCCTTCTTACCTTTCCCCTTCCCCTCCTACTTTCCCTACCCCTTTGGACCTTTTCTTCCTATTTCAAATTATCAATTATTCATTTTAATAATTTTAATCCTTATTTATACTTTCAGTTTCTCACACCAGAGAAACTATTGGGTGTTTACACGTGTGTCCTATTTATTTCACTTAGGAGTATGGCCTCAATATGCATCCATTTAGCTATAAATGTCTCTAGTTTCTCATTCTTTATGGCTGAGTAGTACTCCATTTTATAAAACCCCACATCTTTATCCAGTTTCCAGTTGATGGTTACTTGGGCTGTTTCCAAGCTTTAGCTGTTACAAACTGTGCCACTATAAGCATGGGTGCTCATGTGATATTAGTCAAAATAATTCTGAAAATGAACGAAGTTGGAGGACACATACTTCCCAATTTCAAAGTTTACTGCAAAGCTACAGTGATTAAGACAGTGTTATACTGGCATAGGGAGAAATGTATAAATCAGTGGACTTGAAGCCAGTGTATAAATTAAACAAAGATAATTCAATGGAGAGCTGAATGGAACACCTGGCTACCTATATCCAAAAGAATGAAGTTGGGTATTTTACAACATACATAAAAAAATCAACTCAAAATGGATTATACCCCCAAATGTAAGAGTAAAATTTATAATCTCTTAAGAGGAAGCATAGAAAAAAATCTTTTTAACTTTGAGTGGTGCAAGTCTTTTTTGATATGACACTAAAAGCATAAGCAACTCAAGGAAAATAAGTATATTAGATTTCATCAATATTATAGCTTCTGTGCTTCAATGGATACCAAGCAAGTGAAAAATCCACAAAATACAAGAAGGTATTTGCAAGAACTTTTAAAAATGGTCAAGGATTTGAACAGATGTCTCCAAAGAATTACACAAGTGGACAATAAATATATGAAAGACACAACATCATTAGCTATCGGGAAAATGAAAATCAAAATCACAGTGTGATACCAATTGATACCTAATAGGACAGCTTCAAGAAGAATGTCAGATAATAACAAGTGTTGGCCAGAATGTGGAGAAGGTGAGTCCCCATATATTGATAGTTGTAATGTAAGATAACATAAGCCACTTTGGAAAACATTTGGCAGTTCTTTAAAATGTTAGACATAGAGCTGCCATATGACTCAGCAAATGTAAATTGCTTTTTACTTTACTCCTAGACATATACCTATGAGAAATGAAAACATAAGCCACACAAAACCATAGACATAAACATGAAAATTCATAGCACTGTTATTCATATAATAACCCAAGTAAGAAAGAGGTCAAATATCCATCAACTGAATACTAGATAGACAAAATGTGATGTAGCCATACCATGGAACATTATGAGGCAATGAAAGGTAATAGAGTACATCTTGTGTACTAAGTGGAAGAACCCAGTCACAAAAGATCATATGTTGAATGATTCCACCTAAATGAAATGAAATATCCAGGAAAGGCCTTTATGTTGAGAATTTTGGTGTCTAGGGGAGGAATGAAGAGACAGGAGAGAATGTAAGTGACTGCTAATAATTCAGTGTTTCTTGTACTTTAACTGGATGAATTGTATGGTATCTTGTTTATATATAATATACAGATGTTTTACAGATGGTTGCAATAGATATTTGTGGGTTTGAGTGGCTCCTGAAGCTTTTTATTCCTCTCCATAATTACAGTGACCAAGAGCTACATCCAAAATGGATGGTGGGACAGAGCAGAAGATGAGCTTTGGGGTAGGAGTTAATGAGGAGGTAATGGAGGGTGCAGAAATTGGAATTTCAAGAAGTTTGTCAATGAAGAGAGGGCATAATGGAATAAAGCAGAGGTTAGCCTTGGATTTAAAAGTTACAAAACCATAAGCAGAAAGGGGAGAGGTAATGGGTAGAAGAAAGACAACTGGCAAACAAAGCAGTGGTGAAAGTGTGAGGGTGAGAGGAGAACCCAGATGCAGAGCACAAGTAATGAGAGGTACTACAGGTGCAGGTCATGGGGACCCTTTGCAGACAGGAGTCTGGGCAGAAAGAGGAAGGGTGAAAGTACAACGAGGTTTCTAGGCTTTTATTGTTGTTGTTGTATTGTTTTGTTTAGGATTTTGGGCACTTTTCTTTCATTTCAGCATTGAATTCTAAGCCTAGGCACGCCCTTGTTCTATTTTAAATGGACAACGCTTTCCTGGGACGTGACATTCCCATCTCAACCAGCTGCCAAGAACTATGCTGATAATACTTATTTTTATTTTATGTAACATCTGCCTGAGAAAGGAACTTCACTTGTCTCTCCTAGGTCATTTATTTAGACATGTTGGTGTTGCTTCTTTGTATTTGGTGCCATGCTAAGTGATGAGAGAATAGAGATAAAAGTAATGGAAATAAAAAACTTCTGGCTTTTCCTCCTCTTGCAGGAATGGTCTGGGGAGGCAGCCTAGGCTGGCTGGATGATCCATTCACAAAGATTGTAGGAGTAGAGAGGAGACTCAACGACATCTGACTCCTTCATATAGTGCAGACCTCCTCCTAGGCATTCACTTATTTGTTTGATCAGTTTTGTGAGACTTACCTCAGAGTGCCATTGATATTTGGAATCATTTATCATAAAGCTTTTGTAAAAAAGCCCGAAGTGGGTGTCAACCAAAATCTAGTCTGTAAATGGGAACAAGGAGTACTCCTGTGATTATAGTTTAAGATTCAAAAGATCTTTTATATTTATAAGTCTATTTAGTGCTATAAAAATCATTAACTATAGTCACTCCTATATTGAATTCCAACTTGGTTTGAGAAATTAATTATAGTTTCAAGGACTGGAAGTTTCTTATAGAGTTAGTGTTGTGTTGGGTAAAACTTCCAGAAAGGGTGAGGTTTGCTCCCAGTGATGTTAAATCATCAGGAACAAGCAGAGGAGAAGGAAATGTTTCCAAGAGATCACTGACATCAGTATTACTGTGATGAATTGGCTGAGTCATAATATGGTTTAAACTCTAGGCTTTTCTGCTAGAGACTGAGTATTGTTAACCTGAAAATCTGGAATGTTAAATGCTCCAAAATCTAATACTTTTTG